CCTGCCAGCTGAAAGAGGTTTAACCACTTGAACGAAGCCCTCTAGGCGTCCCAAGGCCCAAGACCAAGTGTCTGAACCCACCTCACCCGCGCCGACACAACAGGCGGGTGTTGCGACAGCGTGGCCGATGGCATGGCTGGTTCCGAAATGCTAATTACTTAATGATTGCAGCTCGGCTGGAGTCGCCTGTGGCTTCAGGTAATTCCTTGGATGTCCGAAGCTGGGCTCTCTTCTGGTTGGTCGGACCTCGGAGGCCTGAGCCAGAAATGCCATGCCCTCAAACATCGGAGGCTCGGCACCTCGCCAAAAGCGGCTTCAACGACGTGCCTGGCTTGAGGGTTGAACACCATGCAAGCATCCCCTTGGGCCTGACTGATACCTTTTCTTGCTTCGCTCTTGCCGGTTTGGCAGGCTGGGACAACCCCAAACCATGCTCGGGGCGGAGAATTGCTGCACTGCACTTGAGCAGCAGCAATGATAAAGCTGCTTTGCACTGTGATCATTCTTGGCCGGTGCACTGTGATGATTGGTTCCACATGGCCTGAGAAAGAATCCCCAGTCGTGCAGCCTGTACAAACAAACATTTTTTGCCGAGTGCGACAGCCGATGCAGGGAGCCGTGGCCCCGCATCCAGCCCGCGATGTCTGTGTACAAGGCACTCTCAGAGCGTCAAATGTCCAGCTCCTTCATCAGCTCCTGCACCGCAGTTGACTCTTTCGCCTTTTCCAAGCGGTCCAACTTTATCCTTACATTTTACACCTGAACATTGCCTTGTAAATGGAGGTGTCCCTTTATTTTGGTGGAAAAAGCCATGTTTCAAATCGGCAAAATGTATCTTTTAAGGAGCCCTGTCCAATCTCCTCGAGGTTTCGCGCTTTGAACGGAGATTCGAAGGAGACGCTCAGTCTCCCCAGGGCCGATTTTGCCATCTGCACCAGAACGCACACTAATTTTGCCAAGTACAACCAGATGTCCCTGTGCCTCTTTCTCCTTCTTCTCTTTTTCGACTTCCATCTGCTTCAGCCTGGCATCGAAGCTTCAAACATTGCAGCACAGGAGCATCTGAAGCTACCGGCAATTAGGCAGTGGCGAATATCCTTGAGAACAAGAAGCGCATGTCTCCCACCTGCCCAAGTTGTTCAGGATACGGTCGATTGTGGCGAGGGATGCGCGAATGATGAGCTTCTCCCCGTACCTCGTTCCGGGTTGTGATACGCAAAAAGGTGGTCATTGTGACTTGAAACCTTAAACATACTAATGTACCAATTCAAAAAGTTAAAGAGTACTGTATCTAAATGCGGCCGTGCGAGGCTGAGAAGCACACCTGACTCGCAGGGCGTTCCGCTGATTGCGCGGGAGGAGCTCAAACCTCAAGCTGGGCGTTGCCTTTCGACAAATGCAGAAGCCGGGTGCCCAGCATCTGTCGATCACGAATCAAGGCCTGGCGGGTTCCGAATCCGAGGCAACGCGGTGAATGAACGCTGCGCCTCGTCTTCTTGCAGAGTTGTCGGATAAGCGTCTTGCAAATCCTGCAAAGACCGGCATGTCTCCTTGTGACGTGACGACCTGACGACGTGCGCCAACTCCTGCACAACGCCGCGCAGGCATATCAGCGCGCGGCGCTCGCTGACCCTGAGCTCTGAAAAGCTAGCAGCAAAACGCATCGCCTCCTGCTGCGCCCGAGCGCGGCGCTCCCCAGTGGCAGTCTTGATGTCAAGTTGCTTCAAAGCCTTGTACACCTGGCACGCTGCGTGGGCCATTTGCGGCACTTGCATATCTCGTCGTACATGTTGCTTTCTCTACCCTTCCTTAACCTCGTCTGCATCTTCGTCTAAATCCACATCTTCAGGCTGAACAACGGCTAACCTGCCAGGTCGATATGTGCCTTTTCTCAAAAGCAAACCCGCCTGCAAGTCCAAGTGAACTATTGAATCTACTGCATGTTGCCTGAGGAACATCATCATCTCGCCCGTGAAGCGATCGCGGTAGAGCGGGAACACTCCCTGGCCAGCAAAATCCTTTCCCCCCCCCCCCCGCCCCCCTCCCCCTGCCGAGCGATCGCACGTCTGCCTCTGGAGGAACCTCGAGCTCCTCCAAAATCCTTTTCTTGACCTGCCCACATGGATGTGGCTCGCAAAACCGGGATTCCAAAATGGGTTGCCCTGGTAAGTGGAACCATGGATCAAAACCCCTCCTGCTTAATTTTGAGCCACACCCGCATGAACGATCGCGTGAAGGATGAAAAACAGAGGATCAAAAAGCGATTGTGCTCTGTTCGGGTTGGTTTGGCTGGTCGACGTTGCTTGGTTTAAGGTGGGTTTAGGCTGGGGTTGGCCGGAAGGTTGGGTTCAGGCATGGGTTTCCAATCCCGGGGACCCGGAGGCCCAAGGGACCAGTCCAGACTGGGGGACCCCTTGTTTGATGGGCATCCCTGAACCATCAGTGGTACACTCCTCGACTGAGGAAAGACTCCATTCCAAGGAAATATTAGCCATGGCTGGTCCTTCTAATCGTTTTGGATGAATGGGGCCTTCCAAGATATCCTAAGGTCTCAACCAACTACTCCGCAGCGCACGCCTCTGCAAAAGGGCTGTCTTCCAGCAATTGTCCGGTGGAAAAGGTGACAAAATCCTGCATGGCAAAGGATGTAGAAAGCTGCTACGTCAAGCATGCGCTAGGAACTCGCAGCATCCTGGGTGTTTCTCTCCATGCTGAAGCCATACAGCATCAGAAGCTGAGCGTTCGATTTCCGGCCTAAGCTTCTCCAAGGCCATCCCTCTGCCAAGATGCGTGACGCGTCCTCTCAAATTGGTGCTGAGGCTTCAGCCATAGGAGATGTAAATCTGTTCATACTTGTTGTAGTATCTGGTGTGGACATGTCAGTGCAAGCTTTCTATTGCTGATGTGATAATACACCAAGTACACTTGGTAGCTCCAGCTTGAAAGTTGCAACTTTTCGAAACAAGCGTAGCACGCCAAGTGCACTTTGGTGTCCGGAACTCCAAAACCGCAACTTTTCAGTACGAGAAGAGTGTGCAAGAGAGGCCACCCCTGGAATCCGCAATTTACACCCTTCGCGCGCGGAGCTTTCGCAGAGTTTTCGCGGAGCTTTCGCGCCAATCTCCCACATTGTCGAAACCGGCAAACGGCCTGTACACATTGACAAGCAAATGTATACTCTCGCACGGTCAACACCTGCTTGCTCTGTCCGCGCGCTGACTGCCCCAAGCGCCGTCTGAACAAGTAGCCCTTTCGCGGAGCTTTTGCGGACCGAGTTCTCGGAAAACGCTTTCGCGAGCTTTCGCGACGCAGGGTTCTCCTTTTGCGGAAACTATTTAGGAAACCGTTTGGATACAAGTCATCGCGGGGGTTTTGGGCGCTGCTCGCTTAAAAACTGGGCCTTTGCAATTCGCTCACCATGGCATCGGACTCACATGGTGCGAACCGGAACCAGGCGAGAACGACGGCGAGAATGCGCGCCTGTCCGATCTCACCACGACACCGCGATCCGGCGTGGAGATACCAGGAATACTTGGCCCATCTGCGACCTCGAATGTGTCTTGCGTGAGATTCCAGCAGAATCCAAAGAAGGAAATTCACTGGATGGCTTCACGTCAGCATTTGCAGCCAATCCCAGACAAAGGCAGGCACAACGTACCACTCTGCTTTTGTGAACAGTAGCTCAGGCACGGTTGTTGAGGCCCCACGCCCCGCGAATCCTAGACTCCGAGTTGGGGTTGTGGTTGATGAGATCGATGTAGGGCACCAGCGCCACGATGTCGTCGGCGTCCAAATCATCCTACCGTGATGTTGCAACCAAAACCTGTGACTCCAGTAGCTTGGGCCATTGGGCGTTAGGAAAGCAGAACTTGCAACCGTTTGGTTCGCCCCGCATCGAAGCTTCCACGCCAACTCCGGGCGCTGAGGCCGGCTCGGGGAAGTCGAGCCGCACGGCGCGGCTGAACAGAACGGAATATGCCCAAACCTCAGCAGCGAAGAACAACGGTTTCAGGAAGGAAGAAAGTGGGTCGGACGAGACTAAGGCCTAGGCATAATTTTCGAAGATGAATGCATCTTCTGGAAACATATCTGGGAATTTTCGCATGACTGTCTCCTCAAAGCTTGCACATGTGTGCGACAAAAGAACACAAACTCCGACGCTGTGCAAATTCAACAAGCGCAGACGTCGCCGGCGGCCATCTCTAATCCCCATCCATCCCCTCCTGGATGTGTTCAAACTCCTTCTTGATTTGATCCTTCAAATAGTAGGACCTCAGAGCCCAATGTCAGGTCGTGTGCGTGGAAATCTCGAATCCCAAGGAGATCTGCAGATCTAAGTCTTCCAAAGGTCCGAAAGCAGTGGCTTCCCAACTCGGAGTCGCTCTGGCAGTTCTTGAGTCGTATGCTACGTGCCTGGCATGTTCCTCAAAGGGCTCCCAGCAAGCAACGTGTCCAGCTCCTACATCGCTTGCGGAGTGAGCCCTCTGCGTTCCATGGACTGACCAACACAGCTCATGTGGCCGCAGCGACTCAATAATTATTCCAGGGCGTGCCATCAGTTGTTCTGCCAAAATGTCAACCAGACTAAATTTCAAGTCGAAACTTGCGCTACCGCTGTGTGTACCTTCTGCGAGAAGCAACATGAAGCGACACCCTCCATGGCATTCCACGCGCCTCCTCATTCCAAGCAAAGGCGGCTCCCACCCTTGGCGTGCACACGCACACGGACGGTCGACTGCGGTTGATTTGGACCTCCGCGTCCCGAGCCGCCAGCTCATCGGTAGAAGGCAGCACGCCAATGTAGGGATTCCAGAAAGAATCCTCCTGCTTGACATTGATGGGTCTGCGGGTGCTACTGGTACTGAGTCTACGAGTTGTCTTTTTCCCGCAGGGTTGGGAGGTCGCTAGGAAGGCAAAGGTGGCCGTTGATGCAGTTCGCGTGCTTCTCTTTGGTTTGTCTTCACAAGTTTCAACATGTCGGATCCCTGGCCCCGATCCTTCAGATTTTGTCCCATTGACCCTCCAAAAGTCCACCTCACCACACGAGAGGGGTGGGCCAAAGGCAACCTATGTCTGGATCCTGGCAGTTCCAAACACCAATAGTTCCGGGCAGTTGGTTGGACGTCACACCTCACAAACAGGAGGGCAGGCTTTGATCCTTTTTCAAAAGGAAGGACTCGAACTTTAGGACACACCCACGACAGCTGAAGAACGTATGGATTCGCACATAAGCACCAACTCATGGAGTGAGAGACACGAGGCCTGCTGACACTTGCACTCATGCCCATGTTATGCACTTGGTTGACGGAATCCTTCTGCACGAAACGTTCGTGCACGAGCTGCAGAGCAATTGCAGCATATTCGCCTAAGCACAGTGCATCTTGAATTGAAACAAGAAAATATCAGTCTGAGTCAAAGATGAGGGGTGCACTCATGTTGGTGCCGATGCATTCCTCCCCAAAGAGCGTTTTCGCCTTCTCCTCTGAACGCACTGCACACAATCAAGCCGAAGTGCAACATGCCCCCAGAATTGCCGACATGCCAAGTGTTTGTGCAGTCCTTGGTGAGGAGGAGCTTGTACCTAAAGAGTTTTTACTACACATGCCCAAATTGCTGTGGGTCGAAACCCTGTACCCCTGGTGAACATCAAAATAGGTGGCACATGGCTGTTCATCCGCCCAAAATGGAACCATAGGTTATGACCCATGGCCAAATATAAGCCAACAACAGCAACTAGCGGGTGAAACACGGGGCGTAAACCCAAAGAGGTAAGGACCACTTCCCGAACCGGCTAAAGTCTATGGGCGTTCCAACCCACCTCCCAAGGAGTCTAGCTACATACCAAGAAACGCGTGTGACACATCTTCTCTAACTTTAGAGACTGCTCAATGCCTCCTGTGAATCGAAAGCATAAACACAGAGAGTGTCCACAGTATCAAAGCAGGCAGCAAGGCAAACTGAGAACGTCGCGGGACACGTGCCAATTCCTCGTAATTCTCGATGTCCTGAGCGAAGAGCAAATCATACAAACAGGCATGCCAGGCTTTCTCGGTCGCCGGCCCTGCGCGCAACCAGCCCACGCCCTGGCCGCGGCAACACTCAAAACTCCTTGTGGGGAGACTCAGATATGCCTTCTGAAAAACCCTATGGGCAAGGCTGTTGGGTAGTGGCACACTGCAGCAGGAAATGGTTCTAGGTAGAGTTCCGGGGCCAATCGGCCAATGGTCACGAGGCCTCGTAAACGTGCACATGCTGCAGAGCTGGAAGCTTCAGCGCACACTTGCAGGCTGACTGCTTGAATTGCCAAGGTCCTGAACTGTGCAAATAAGCAATGTTGATCTCCACGCATGGGGAGGCGATTTCCCAGGCTCAAGAGGAGATGACAGTGGCCAACATCTACCGTGCACACCGCAATGGCAAGCTCACAAATAGGCAGGCAAAGGCAAAGGCCAAATGGTTTGCGAACAGCCACTCCGCCATTGCGCAAATCGTCGACGTGCAAGCCTGATAAGACCCCCCCCCCCCTCCCCACACCAACCGACTGCCTTTGCCACCGAGCCTGAAACTTCGTTCTCAGTTTGCTCGCGCGTCTCCACCGCCATCGACACACCCGCCGCCTGCCATTGACACATCTGGCCCTGACACTGGTTGGGCCTGAAAAAGCCATGGGCATGAACCCCTTCCAGTTTCTCGTAGATACAGCCCGAGGAACTTCTCATGACGCCCCACGAAGCCCGGAGCCGCTAAGCAGGGCACAGGTCGGCCCCAGTCCGCATCCTCCGAAACCCACACGCCATTCTCCGCCTGGGATCGTCCAGTGGCAAGCAGCCCTTCTGACCCTTCTGCAAAGCTCGGGTTGCGACCAGCCACTTCTCGAGCTTCGCGTTCTCCTCCAGCTTCCGTCGCTTGGCGCTTCCCCTGCCTGCGCATGAAAAGCATGAGGAACAAGCGCCGCAAAGCCGCGCAGAACAGCTTCTGGAAAACTCTTTGATGGATATGCGCTCCAAGCTCATACCAGATGTCTGAAAGAATCTCTGCGGAACCCTGAAACAACAAATACAGAGAATATTCTCTTACATGGGGACCCCATGACTCTGCAGCTACCGCCGCTCAACACGTCGCGGGTTTGTCTCCAAATGCCAAACACAGTGTAACGCTCAAAATGTGTGGCTTCCCCTTTTGGAACAATCTCAAAAGGCCCCCTGAAAGACACATCCACTCAAAACTGGGGCCTCCAAGTGCTTGGTTTCACACCAGTTTCCCTTTAAACAAAGTTAAACAAAGCACCCAGAAGCAAAGTGCCTTGTTTTGACACATGCCCCAATGAGCACATGCCACTGGGCAGCGGGCCTTTGAGCCAGCGCTTGTTTCGGCCCACTTTTGCCTTTCCAGCTGCCGGCCTAGACAGCCCCCACAAACTAGCACCAGCCGGCAAATTTGGAGCGAAACTTCGGAAGGCGTCAAAATGTGGGGCCCCTTCAAATGTGACAACTGTGCATGTTCCTTGTGACATCCAGGGATGAAGAAAGCCGAGGCCAGCACACCAGTTCCAAACCCTCGGATGCAATGACCTCCCCCGTGAGCGAACGCTTGCCATCCTCCAAGCCCTGCGCGACTTCAGGTCAAAACCACTGTATCCTGCACCATCCTCTGCCACAATATCTTCCCATGTGGAACTGATGCTTAATAAGTTGGACCCTTTGGTGGACGTGATTTCCTTCCAACGACCATTTTGCCGGATTCAATCTCACAGGCAGGTTGTGGATGGCCTCTGCGGTGGGAGTCCTGGAAATCCTGGCCGCTGGGCCAGGCAAGCGCCGTGGTATTAAAACATACGAGGCAGACAAATCGAAATATAGCAGCATGATCGGGTGAAAGTGAGTGATGCAACAGCCAGCAAACAAAGCATGCCATGGACCCCCCTCCCCCCCCCAAAAAAAAAACAGTAGATGACATATTTTTTTGTCCCACTGTAATTTGCAACGCCGCATTTGGCGTGTTGCTTGCAATCCACAGCCAGCCTCCGGAAAAGGATCGAAACCCTCTTTTCTAACATGCAACAGGCTTACACCCGCCACGGTAACGACGCAAGAGACACTGAGTGGTGGACGGTTGCCACCAACTTTCCGTCATGTCGGCCAGTCATTCTGGAGACCAGCACTCAAAGACTAGCCATGCCGTTTGCCCTTGCAACTGTCCTTGGATTATGCCATGGGGTAGGTCCGCACAATAACACTGTTCTGGGGGAATGTTGGATTTAGGATTTGCCTGGGGGTGCTCGTGGGATCACTGCAAATGGCCGTGGACATCTACGAGGTGCATTGAATTTGCAAAGCTCTGTATTTGATTTTCTCTGCTGAGCAAAGGCACAAAGGCAGGTAGGTTTCCTAGCGCCTCGCCGTCTGCCCTGCAGAAATCTACTGTTGCCTGAGCAGCGACCCTAGCCCTCCTATACTGCCATCAAACAACCTATTGACGCAAAGCGTTCCATCAAGGCTTCTGTGCTGACTAGGTCATGTCCGGCGCGGTACTTTGGCCACTGCTCATGGGCAACCAACGCACTACGCCCGGGCGCCGCTCCCTTCCCCGCACTCGCGCTTGCGGAAGCAACGCCCAAAAGATCGCCAGGTCCGCTGAATTGCGCCGGGCTTCCCTCGGGATGAACAAGCCGCCAGCTTCCCCAGCAGGGTAGGCAGGGGTGCGGGCAATCTCTGGCAGGAGGGGATCTCCGCATTCTCCCCCTCCACGTTCTGCAGGAAGGAGCCCAAGGCGCCAAAATATCCTTCATGCAGCAGGAAGAGGGCTTCCAGCTTCTTCCCTGGCAAGGCTGTTGCACTGACCCTCCGCATGTTGTCCGCAATGACTCCCCCAGCCACGGGATTGTGCCGCAGAAAGTTGCCCGTGAAGACAATGCGCGTAATCCCGTGCAACCTGGAGTTGAGGAACGCGATTTGGCAAATATTCTGAGAGATCATGGTGATGAGGGCGCGCAGGACATCCGCATCGTTAGCCTCCCCGCCATTCCTGCCCGCCTTGGCAAAAAAGGATGCGGTCAAAGTGCCCGGAAGCTTCTTGCCGCCTGCCAACTCGTAGTCACCGCCGTAGATGTCCTCCACCAGCAAGTTGACCTGGATGTGCGTTAAAGCTGGGGACCACCTTTCGGCCCTCGTTTCAACGAGAACCAGCACACTTTTAGTTTATGACACCTCAAGCTTCAGACTTGGTCGCTTCCAAAAGGGTCCCAAGCGCCCATGTGCCCATGTCTCTGTTTCACCAAGTGCGCCCGGTGGTTTTGCTGTTCCTTCGCGCCTTGGAGGCATCCCCGGAATCCGCCAGCGCGCCCGCCGCCGCAAAGTCTGTGCGCTCTGGGCACAGCAGGTTGCAAAGGCCCCAGAAGGTGCCGCCCCCCAGGGCCGAGCCGCTGATCCGCTCGAACTTGTCCGTGCCGTCCACCCGCACGATGCTCACACCCGAGCCGATGTTCACCAAAATGAAAGGGAACAAGTTGTTGGTGTCCACAAAGTGACACTCAGAAACCGTCTCCTCAGAAAGCATCTCGAGAAGGGACTTCTTTGGCTTCTCAGATAACCAGCAGACTTCCTCGGCGATTTCCCGACGGAGCAGCCAGGAGATGCCTTTGATCACCACTCCAAGCTCATCCACTGGCTTCAGAGTGATGCCCAAGACCTCCTGAAAGAGCTTGGCATATTTATAGGCCCCGCCGCCGGTGCTGTAGATCTCGTCGATCTGGTGATGCAGATCTTGCTCGGCCAGGAGGCCTACGAAGCGCTCCATCTTGTCCGTGCTGAAGCAGAGGAAGTGGAAGCTGCCCTTGAGATCCGCGTCGTAGAAGCCCAGGCCCCGGTCCCTCTCCCCCCAGAAGGAGCACTGGCGGCAAAAGTCCTTCCCGCTGCCTTCCGCCTCGCTCCGCAGGGCCTGGCTTGGGAATGATTTCACCCCGACGAAAAACCTCTTAACACGTTTGGCGAACATCTCATTTTGGCCGAAGCGCCTGGATCCCCAGGGTCTTGATGACCTGGGCAAAGTGCCCGTTGCACCAGGAGGGCCTCGTCTCCGACTCGAAGAAGACCAGCTTCGTCAGCGTGCCCCCCACGTCCAGGCCCAATCGGCTACCCGAGTGCCCACCCCAGTCTGCGCCCGCCATCGGACTGTTTGGTTCAGGCGCCACTTGCGGCGCGGCGCTTGGGAAAAAAGCTCCCAAAGCACCAATCGATTCAGCCAATTCAGACGCATCGCCTTGCGATTGGTGTGGCTCAAGTAGTTTTTGGAAGAGGCCCCGTCAAAGAGGTGTTGGGGAAAGAACGCCACAGGAGCGCTCGTGAACAGTGAACTCAACTGGGAGCATACCCCTTTAGAAACACCAGCCATTTGGAGAATGTCAGTAGGACCTTAGAGTTCAAAGTGACAGGTGCATATGCTCGCCTCGGCTTCGGAGGGGTGAAGCCATCAAGAGCAGGATACCTTGGAACTGCCAATGGCTCTTCAAGTCGGACCGGCACGCCCCAGGCCTTGAAAGGGAGATTCAAGGAAAGCAACCAGCACTTAGTCTCTCAGGGCCTAGTCCTTGAGAAAGCCACGAAAAAACGGCCGCCACTCAGGGGTCCTGCTTTAGGTCTTCACCGGTCTCAAGCGAGGGTCCCATTTGGGCCCCCGGCTTCGGCGGCTCCTTTTCCTCCTGGACCTGGCGGAGCTCGGACATTCTCGCGCCCAAAGCCTGGTGCATGTCGGCCTCCAGATCTGGAAGCGGCGGAGGCCTTGCCCGGCGTTTGGAGTCGCAGCCCCGAGCTGCAACCAAAACCGAGTTCTGGAAAGCTCGCCTTGAGCTGACATGGGTGTGGCTCAAAATAAAACAGGAAGGGCAAACCGCAGGTTTTGGTCCATGTTTCCACTTACCAGGATGCCATTTCGGTACCGTTTGTTTTGAGCCACAGCCACATGGCCTTTTTGTGCCCAGGTCCTGAGGCAGTGACACCATGTCGTCTATTGACACGTCATCCTCCTCCATCGGAACCAGCCTAGGCTTCGTCACCCACCTCATGTGCCTTTTTAGCGGTGCTAGGTTCCATGTGGTGCGAGCGGGACGGATAAAACCATGCGTAGTTCTGCTTAAACAAGGTACAAATATATCAGTCATCGAATCCTAAGGCCACTGCACAACGCCGTCCAGGTCGTCCAGCTTTGCATGCAAGCGGCTTCCTGGCTGTGCCATGATCAACATGCGAATCAAAAGTGGGACCCTGCCGAAGGGCGTGTTTCACATTGGTTTCCCTTTGTACCACACATGTCGTTCCAATTGAGAGAATCACGACCGCATGAGCCACAACTGGCAACATGTTAATCTTGCCTCTATAGCCTCGTGTGAGCTGCATGCAAAGAAAAAAGAAAAGAACAAGACTCGAGCCGCCTCTGGAGGCTGTTTGTCTAGGTTGAGCTCCACTCCATCCTCGAAACGCACTTGCATGCCCTCCCTTTCAAAAGATCTCCGGTCAGCAGTATCCCGGAGTTGCGTCTCTGTCAGGGTGGTGTCGACAGCAAACCAACAAGAAGTCAACCAACTTCAGCGGGCTCGATGTTCACATACACACAAAAAAGCGAAGAAACAAAGAAAGAAGCAAAGAAGCAAAGAAAAACTGGAGCAAGGGGGAAAGAAACGCAAAGACACACACCTTGGAATATAGGAGAACCACAGAGGTCACACGTCAGGTACACTGAGCGTCCCCAGTCTGATATCACCAGCACGCATCCGGTGTCTTCGTTGGTGCAAGACCGGATGGGCTGCTTGCACCCCGTGGCGTAAAAAGTTGCAGAAGTGGCGAGGAGGCCTTCCATCCGTGAACTAGGATGATCCACACACACACGACAAAACTAAGAACAAAGACAGACAAACAAACAAACAAACAAACAAGCAAGCAAACAAACAAACAAACAAACAAACAAACAAACAGACACACAGACACACAAACACTAAAGCAAGCAAACAAGCAAGCAAGCAAACAAACATACATACATAAACATACATAAACATACATACATAAACATACATAGAGAATACATACATACATACATACATACATACATACATACATACATACATACATACATACATAGAGAATACATACATACATACATACATACATACATACATACATACATACATACATACATACATACATAAATATTACATACATACATACATACATACATACATACATACATACATACATACATACATACATACATACATACATACATACATACATACATACATACATACATTACATACATACATACATACATATATAAATACATACATACATACATACATACATACATACATACATACATACATACATACATACATACATACATACATACATACATACATACATACATACATACATACATACATACATACATACATACATACATACATACATACATACATACATATATACACACATACATACATACATACATAC